AAAGGTCTCTGGGACAGTCTGGGAAACGAGTCTAAGAGAGTGACAGAAATTTGGGACCCTAAGTCCCCACATTCTTAAGATTTTCACTGGGAATATGAACTACCTCTTGCTATACCTGCCCCTTCTTATTCCCTTGGTCACCATGACATCTATCACCTCCCTTAAAGTTTCTAGCAGCTCTGGCATCTAGTGAGACATTTCATCATCTGACCTTAATTTCCTAATTCCAAAATGAGCCCTGATGTGGCACTGTAGGATAAGCACTGGACTGCAAACCCACCAGCCACTCTTGGAAACTCTACAGACTTGTTATGAGGAAGACACACAACAACAACAACAAAATGAGGGCAATATAGTCTATGTTACAATGTTAAAATGTTCATTTGATTAAATATTTTACACTAAGATGTGGCTGGCTGCTAGACACTCCAAGTATGTCTGTGTGATGCTTAACACAATTAAATGTCCATGTGGTAAAATATAGAGGATCTTTGAGAATAGTACTTTGAGTTGGTTGAGGATAAGAGTTTCCCTTACACCCACCTCTCAGACTGAATGTGTTCCTAATCCTGAATTCTGGGCCCCCAGAGACAGTAATAAAGTGGGAGGGAAGCCGGGTCTCATTGGTAAACCTCTCCCATTAAGAGCCAAACCTTCCAGAAGGTGGAGAAACATCACCACCTTGAGTTGGGTTGAGACTCAAGGTGAACTCATTCTGGGTGGGCACAGGGACACAGGGATACAGGGGCACCCTTGAACCCCAGAAGGAAGGGGAACTCTACCAGCCCAAGAAACTGGTGATTTATCTTGGCGGGGGTCACTGAAGGTTTAGGTCTGTGTTTTAAACAGTCTTTCTGGCCAGTGTGGAGGCAAATTTGGGGGAAGATTGGAGAACTGTGTGAGGCTGGGTGGGGCAGGACTCGCTGAAAGGTTCGGGCCCATGGCGGTGAAGTTGCAGCACAGGAGGACCGGCTCCGCTGGCAGATGTTGAGCCCCCAGTGATGTGTGGGTCAAGGCTCTGCTGCGCAGGCCGGCAGGGCAGGCAGTACGTTATCAGACAGCCCAGCTGGCTTGGAGGTGGCCCCCCAGCGCTGCTAAATCGGGGCCACTGGCTCCTGCCGCAGGAAGAGGGAAACGCAGGCAGGATGTCCTCTCCCGTTGCCGACAAGTCCTTTCCCATGAACCCCTGCTGACCTCGACGGCCACGTGGCGGGGCTCCCCCATTCGCCACCCGGACCTGCGGCTGCTAACCCAGCCACCCACAACTTCTGCAGGGGCTGTGAGGGCGGAGGCGCCATGGGGCGCAGGAGCCAGGATTTAGGGGTGGTCTGCTTTCCGTCTCGCCCCGCCTCACCCCGCCTCGCTCCGCCTAATTCGGGCAGGCGCCGAGCCTCCTCCAGCGATGAATGCCCGCACCTTCCTGCTCCCAGACTTTTCCCTTCTGCCTGACCGGAAACAAAACCAAGATCCCAGAGGAAGCCAGAGTCTGAAAAGGATCGAATCGCAGGAATCCCTGACTGCAGCTGGAGACCCGTTGGCTGAGTCTAATTCACAGATCGGTCCAGTGAGTGCGAGAGGCTATCTGAAGCCCTCTGTCCACTCGAGGGGCATCTCAAAAGACTGTGGGAAACAAGCTAAGCCCTAGTGGAGAGAAATCGGTCATGCGCGAGATGTACTTTCTAATGACAGCAGGAAGAGTGTAAGCTAGATACTGAGAACTTTCCCTTAAGGCTGAGATCCCATTGAATTTCCTTGGGTTCCCGAATTTATTGGGAATTGAGACATTTAGGCTCCCGTCTGCTCCATCATACTCAACTGTTCCCAACTTTCCTCCAGGCATATCTGGCTGAGTTGCACCAACTGGGGTCTCCAGAGAAATCTTGCTTGAGGCTTCTACCTACCCCATCTACCTCCCCAATAGTGCTCTGCACATTTGCTCCTCCTCTCATGGTCCCCATCTGTGTAAACTATCATGATCCATTCTTTTACTTAAGACAGGGACTGGTATTCATCTCTACCAGCCCCATGTCCAATCCATCCACAGTTATTACTGCTTCCAACCCTGACATCTCTCTTGGGTCCAGCCACTTGGAATTTCCTTCCTGGTTCAGACTTCACCTGTTTCATCTGGTTTTATTCCTCTAGCAATACCTTCAGGGGAATCTGACCAGTGGCTGCTCTGCTCAGAACCCACCTTTCCTGGCATGCCCATCCCAGAACCCCCAGCTCCAGCCTCATATGACTTGTCTTCAAACACCATCTGTATTTTCTTGCCTCTGAACATTTGAGGGGTTCTTTCCCTGCTTGGAATGTCCTTCCCCTGAGTTATGCAGACCAGCTCAAAGAGCACCCATTCAGAAAGCTCTTGGTTAGAAGTGACACTTCCTTCCCTTTCAGCCCCAGCTCCCAGCTGGGCCTCACTGGGGTCAATGAACACTTTTCATCCCTGGGCTACAGATGTGAGATTCCATGTTTTTGTCTCTGCCAATCTGTCACTCAGGAAACCCCCACAAGACAGGGCCAGGTCCAAGTCCTCCCTGGAGCCACCACTGTTGTTTGGGGCTTACACAGAACTGTAGTACTTCCCTGGACCTGGGTGCTACTGACTGGGGTCAGGGTGGAATGAGTTCATCAGACAGACACACCTTGCCTGGGCCCTGTCCATGTGAGTACTGTGCTCTGGGCAGCCACACTGACCCTATGCCTCACGCAGGTGGACACCCGAGCAGCATCTGTATTTGAGTTCTTAGAGCACTGAGCTGGAGCCAGAAGGTTCCCAGTCATTATGAACAGCAGACTGCGGTCCTTGCTCATTCCTACATTCCTGTTTACATGCAGATCTGGCTCAAGGCTGAGTAACAAAGGCAGCAGAGACTTGGGATGGCCATGTGTGGATGCAGTCCAAGGTAGGAGGAGCAGTCCACTAGCCAAGTCAGCACAGTAGTCTCCTGCTTCCCTGTGTTTACCTGATCAGGTAGCTCACTGGCCAGAGGAATAAACAACCTCTTTCTACACTAAGCCTCTTGAGATACCAACTGCCACTGACCCTCTCCACAAGGATACTACTGGGCAAGTCTTTATTGGAGTGGACTGGGGACACCTAGCCAGAAAATCACAGCACAAGTTACAGTCCCTCAGCACTAGCAGCTGTGCAAGAGGAAGGTAAGGTGCAGAGCATGCGAGAAAAGTTCCCAGACCACACATCAAGAAATTCAGGAGCAGAGTTGGTTTTAGAACCAATGGCACACCTTTGAGGTGGCAGCTTCAGTATCCTTAGCAGATCTCACCTACCTGCTCCTAGCTTCCCATTCAGCTGCCCAGATGCTTGACTATGCTTACTGGTTGGTATTTCTGTTCTTGAGTCCCCCTTATGCTGGGAGCTCTGGTCCTCCTCAGTCCAATAATAGTTAGGGCAGAGTGCAGGGATGAGGCAGGGCAGCAAGAGAGATGGGGCTCTGTCTCTACTCTGGTCCAGCCTGGATCACCCTTCCTCTTTCAGGGGTCACTCTGCTGGCACTCTGCTTCACTGCTGCACCCAGTGCGGAACCCCGCCCATCTCAGCCACACACACTGTTGCTAGCCATTGTGCCACCTTCTTGATTAGAATCCAGTGGCCGTTTGCTTCCATTCTCCCTCTAGCTGACTCTCTCAGCTGTACTTCTGGCTCTGTAACTACACTGCTCTGTGGCACCACAACTCTGGCCTCTTTCGCTTCTCCTCAGGATGCATGCTTCATCCCTGTTTTCCTGCAAGCCACCCTCACGGTTTCTGGCCCCCTGTCTCCAGGGTCCCACTCTGGATCCTGTGCTCTGTTTCATCTCAGACTCCCCATCTCAGCCTCTTTCCTGAGCCTGAGAGCTCCACCCAAGTGCCTCTCAGACATCTGTTCAAGGTGGAGTTTCCAACCTTGACCTCTGCAGTTCAATTCACCCCTGCTCCCCATAATTCAGTCACTCAGTAAACACACTGAACACTTGAGAGCCTAGTCCTGGCCTGGGTGCAGAGGAGAGGGGGAAGGGCCAAGGCAGCCTCCATGCTCAGACCTGCCAGTACTCAGAGGCTACAGATACCCTCCTCCCTTCTCCTTTCTGTTTCTTCCCACCTCCCTCACCTTAGCCACTTAGCTCAGGAAGGCACAGGTGGTGAGCAGAGAGCAGGGTTCTCTTCCATAGACCTGGTCTGCCTTGCTACTGGCTTCTTGGGGATGTTTCCTAATGTCCTCCCTGTGAGGATTCAGTGATGAAGGACGCAGATGACAGACACAAATCAGATATGTAAAGCCTTTCCTGGTGTGGCGCTGTGGTCTAATGTGCTGGACTGCAAAGTTGGTTTGAATCATAAGGTTGGCGGTTCAAGCTCACCAGCTTCCCGCTATAGGTTGGAACCAAATCGCTGGCACTTAACAAAAACATGGTTTTCAAACATCATTAGGTTTCCACAGCTCTTATGCATTCCTCCCACAAATGCTAGGGACCCAGGACCTCTCCTCTGTTCCTTGTTTTCCAGGAACCACAAGATCCTGAGTGGACAGCAGCTTGTCTTCCCTTACCCCTGGCATCTCCTCTAACCAAATCCCTTCTGCTCTCTCACTTATGCCCCATCTCCCTTTTTTTTCAATTCCACAGTCCATCCTCTGATCTGAGTCTCATCCAGCTGGAGCCAGGGGTTTATCCAACACAATCCTGCCCTTGTCTAGCCCCATAGTTAAGACCTGCTAGAACGTCTGGTGTGGCACTGTGGGTTAATGTACTGGAGTGCAAAGTCGTTTTGAACCACAAGATTGTGGGTTCAAGCTCACCAGTCGCTCCTCGGAAACCCTAAACTGGGTCGCTATGGGTCGGAACCGACTCTACGGCACTTAACAACAACAGAAACACCAGTGAAGGCCTGTGCCTTATGGGCCCAGGCTCCTTACTCTGGCCTTCAAGGCTCCTTCCCTTTCAAACCGGTGCAGCCCTGGCCTTCTGCCCAGTCGATCCTACTTCAATTCCAACTTTCACCTGCGCCCTCGCCGACCGACGGCGCCGGCCTCAGGCGCGCGAACGTTTCCAGAGGCCCTGGCCCTACAGTCTCTAGCCTGGGGGAACGGTCGACGCCCGCCCGGACCTTCATCCCAGGACCAATCTTTAGCACTGACGGGAGGCGTCGGGAAGTGCGCACCCAGGTCTGGGGCCTGGCCAGTATTGAAGCCTCCGCCCCTAGGGAATGATCTCGGTGCCCGAGAGTCTGCAGGGCAGAGCGGTGCGGCGCCGGGACTCGGCAGGGAAACCGAATAAGGAAATGGGGGGCCTAGGGGTAAGGGACCCAGGCTGAGGATAAGGCGCGATGGATCCTGGCTCCGAGGGAGCCACAGACCAGAGGAAGTCGGGGAGCCCGAAGGAGATCGCTGCGTGGCAGCGCAGCACCGCTGTCGATCCCTGACCCGGCTGCAGTCCCCGCCAGTTCTTTTCTAATCCTGGCAATCCCGGAGCCCCGACCCCCGACGCTCTGTCTGCCCTGCTTCCCCTGGCGCCCCAGGTTCCCAGCCGACCCTGTCACTCTCCTGTCCCGCACAAGCCTCCACAGGACTCCCTCCGGCCAATCTGTCTCCCTCGCGTGTCCGTCGGTGCGGTCCCACCTCCTCGCGCTCACCTTGAAAGAGTCCCAGGCAGATCCACAGGCGCAGGCACAGCGCGGTGCTCCGCTGCATCTCCGGCCGCTGCGGCGCGAGTCCGACAGGCCGGCCGAGAGTCCGGAATCAAGTGTGGGCACCAGGCGGGCGCGAGTCGGGGCGGGGAGGCGGGCGGGGGCCGGGGGCTCCGGGGCGGAGCTGGCGGGACCGAGCCCGGGGGCGGGGCCGGGGGCCGCAGACCGCCCCTCGAACCTCTCAGGGCATCCACACGAAAGCCCAGTCGGAATGAGACTTGGGGGCTCCGCTACTTGGCGTCGGTCTCAGCTGGACCAGTCCTTCCCAGACTGTGGCCACTCTTAAGCCCCTCCTAGGCCACTGCAGGTAAGGTCAATGTTCGTTATGCGCCCCAAGGGAATGTTGCTGTTTGTTGTTAAGTGGCCTTGAGTTGGTTCTGACTCATAGCGATCCTGTATCAGGCTTCCAGTATCAGGCTGGTGAGTTTGAACCGCCGACCTTATGGTTCAAACCGACCTTGCGGTCCAGTGCTTTAATCTCACAACGCCACACCAGGACTTCCTTAGAGGAATGGGGCCTGACGATCAAGGATGGGTAAAATGTGGTGGCGAATTACGATTACACAAAATCGTAATCACACATTTTCTTTCGATCAATAAATACGACATGTAGAGTAAGCAAAAAAGAAAGAAAAAAAAAAAAGTCATACATGCTACTTTAAAATCGCAGTAATGCCAAATCTTTGAAACTGTTTAAGCAAACTCTTCCTTACATCTTTGGTGCTGATGGAGGCAGGCACCCCCAATCTACAGACCTGGCGGTACCTTTAGGTCTTCCCCGAATATTTATTTCTCTGAGTTCATCCATAAACTCTTTATTCAGGTGACACTTTACTCTCTGAGTTGGAAACCCTTTCATGGGCTTCCTTTCTCTTTTCGGTTCTTCCTTTAGAATTTTCTTATTTCAAAATAATACCGTGAGAGTGACTATTCCAGTCCCCGCCCTCCGTTTTAAATTATACTTCATGCATACTTTTTCCATCCCCTGACCCCCGCCCCCCCCCCCAAGTTCACTTGTCCTTACTGAAACCGAGGACTAGATTGTTGGTAATAGCTATTACCATCCCTAAAGAACAAAGAGGAATCGAATATATTAGTAACCTAACTGGTGTGGCGCTGTGGGCCACACTGCAAAGTCGTTTGAACTGCAAGGTTGGTGGTTCAAGCTCACCAGCTGCTCCTTGGAAACTGTATACAGTGTCGCTATGGGTCGGAATCGACTCTACGGCACTTAACAACAGCCCCTTGAAATTCACATCGCATCACATCTGGCATACTTAATCTATAAAGGAATCAGCCACAAGCTCTTCTTCCAGTACTATATCAGACAATGTTTCCTTGTCCCTCACAAGCGGTCACTAATTACCTCTTCCTTGTCTGTCTTCGTCTGGAAGCTCTGCTGGAATCTGTCCACCATGGGTGACACTGCTGGTATTTCAAATACCAGTGGCATAGCTTCTAGCATCACGGCAACACACAAGCCACAAAAATGACAAACTGATAGACCAGTGGTATTATCTTAGTTTTATAAAAACTTCATATATGGAAATGTAAGACCTTTCAACTTGTTCTTCAAAAGTGACTTTGTAATTCCTCATAATTTGATGGGCTTTTGATTGAGATTGTTTGTAACTGATTCTGACTAATTTTGGGAAATCCATACTTCTGCCCATTCCAAAGAGAGGTGACCCAACAGAATGAGAAATTGTTGAATGATATCAATACCACATGCAAGTAAAATTTTGCCAAAGATAATTAAAAAGTGGTGCAATAGTACATCAATAATTAATCTCTATCTTACTCTACAGAGGAAAATCACTTCCAGGTGGACTGTTGACCTAAATATGAAAAAGAAAATGCAGTACACGGAGAAAAAGCAGAGGAGAATATCTTTATGATCTTGGAGAAAGTAGAACATTTTAGGATAAAACTAAAACTACATTATCTACAAAGAGAAAAATAAAATAGATCATATTTTGCTAAGTGCAAAGCTGCATTTACATAAGGCAAAACTCCAAGATTGAGGACAAAGGACTGTAGGCAGATGCATTTTCAGTACACACAAAGAATTGGGGAGCCACAGAAAGAATAGAGAGACCTTTTTCAACACCAGAAGTATTCAGTAGAAACTCCAAAAGGATAAAGCCTTAGTATCACACCCCAGGAACTAAGCTAAAAAATAAGCATCAAAATAGTCAAGCTAATCCATAGGTAATGTACTTTCCTGCCAGAACAAACATTAATACTCTTAAAAGGAGCATAACAAATCTAGATAGTTGACAGCATAATATTTAAAATGTCTACCGTCCAATAAAATATTACTAGATATGCAAAAAGGCAGGAAAATATGACCCAACCCAGGAGGAAAACCTGTCAACAAAACCAATTTATAAATGAGAAATATAATGAAATTAGCAGATGATGACTTTTAAACAGTTATAAATATTTTCAGGACTTTAAAAAGAAAAAAGCACACAGTAAGCATACAAATGAAAGATGTATAAAAGTATCAAATTTATATCTGAAATGAAAATTTTACTAGAAGGGTGTAATAATAGATTCGACACTGCAGAAGAAAAGACCAAAGAACATGAAGACATAGCAATAGAAGCTATCCAACTAAATGCACACGAGGAGAAAAATGCTCAAAAATACTCAAAGTATCAAGAAACTATGGGTTTAATAACTTGTAATTGAAGTCCTAGAAGAAGAGAAAGGCAAAATAAAGACATTTTCAGATATACAAAAATCGAAACACTTCATCACTAGCATACCTACACAATTGTCATTGTTCTTAAGTGCCGTGGAATTGGTTCAGACTCATAGCAACCCTGTATAGGGTTTGTGAGGAGTGGCTGGTGAGCTTGAATCACCGACCTTGTGGTTCAAACCGACTTTGCAGTCCAGCACATTAACCCACAGCACAACACCAGAACTCCATATCTACACTATAAGAAAATTTAAAGGAAGTCCTTTGGACAGAAGTAAAATAAACCTGATGAAAATATCATACAAGAAATGAAAAATAATACATTTTTATTATTTCAGCATCTTTAAAAGATAAGTGGCAGTTTAAACAAAACAATACCAATGTACTTTTCAGTTTATGAGATATATAAGCAAAATGAATGACAACAGTAATATTTTGAAGGTGAACCTTACAAAAAAACCTAGATGTTAGCACATCTGAATAGGGTAACTTCAAATTGAAACTCCATTTTGAATTAAACTAAGATTTTCAGTTCTACCTTTCTAAATAAAGCCATTCAGTCATTTTTCCTTTTCAAAATATTACTATTCTAATTCCAAAGAAAACAAAAATCAGAATTTTTAACCTAGATGATTTTCCTGGTGCTTGTTAAGAGTGTTTATGCAGTTGGCCTAAATAATAAAAATTAAAATAGGCTTTAATTAGCAGAAGGTTAGGAAACAGAACTGATAATATTAAATGAAAATAGGAACAACAAATAAGTTTATAACCAAACAGATCTATATATCCAATATTTTGTTGTTGTTGTTTTCTTTCATATTTACTTCCCAAATACTCACTTGTTGAGAGATTTTCATAGTATTACCACCAGTTTTCTTTGCACATTTGTGACTAGATAGAAAGGCAGTTCTCAGCTGTAGAAAAGGTCCTGAATTAAAAAAAATAATAATAATAATAATAACTTGAACAAAAAGGATCCCGAATACAAACATTTCAGTGGGACGCTTTTCTCTGATTGGCTATTTGAGGTCTCTAAATGACATCAACAAAGTAAGATAACCTCTTTGCAAAATTCCATTTCTAAACTGATGGAGCAAACGTAAAGAATTACAGTATGTGGTTTCTGAATTAACTAAGAAAAATAAAGAATTAGAACTACTGTACTTACACCCCTCACTGCAGCTTCCTCTGCCCTCTGCTGGCGGCTGTTTCTGTGTACCCTCCTACAGTTCACTCTGTGGATTTGCCAGCAGCTGCATCTCCACATCCTCTTCAGATATGGACATCTTACGCTGCAGTTTCTCCTGCCTTCCCAATTGGCAGCCTCTTCGCTATATCCTCCTCTGCCTCTTTTTCTGTTTGGAAACTCTCTATCTGAATTTCCTTTTCCCCAAAAAGAAGTTGTTAAAGATTTAAAACCAGAATAAAAAAGTCCATAAAGGAATTAAAAACAAAGTGTTTCATGACAAAAAAGACTGAGTTTAGAAAATTCAGGTCCTATTTGTGAAATGCCTTTTAACATCACCCTGCCAAATCTGGAGAGGGTACTAGAGAAAATCCAAGGAAAGCTGTATTTCTTTCGTCTCTTGGACACATATGGATTATGTGAGGATTTGCTAAGGAATTCAAGGTCCTTGCAATGCTTATCAATTTGCATCAGCTGGTTTGTACCAATTAATTCATATGTTAGTTGGCCCTGGGGAGGCCAAATTATGGTTACAGTGTGCTAGGTGGAAAAATTCCCAAAATGACTTAGCTCTGAATACAAACAAAACAGCTGCATCCTTCTCACAAAAGCCCAAAATAAGTTAAATGATGTATATAAGCAATCTTTAAAGCCTTCCCCCAAATTTAAATTGAGCAACAGTACATTCTTGTGTACAAGGAAAGATAAAAATGGTTATGATTATCAATCCCAGTTATTCCAGAAGTTTTTGGAACATTCTGGATGGACCATTTAGAACCAGGAATGAATAAATGCCAGAAATGAATGCATTATTTATTTCTGACCTCGAACATGAAATTTCAGCCTTAGTTAGGAGACATCGTTTAAGTTGGAGGGCTGTTTCCACTGAGGAATTAACTAGTTTATTTTATGAGCTTGCCCAAACTTTAGAAACAAAGCAGATTGTTCAAGCTAACAAATTAAATAAATTAATGGCCCTGCAATTGCAGCAGCTGTGGGGGCCCACTCAGAAAAAAAGTTTTAAACCCTCCAATGAGCCCCAAACGGACCCCTGTAATAATTGTAAAATAACAAACAAAAAAACAAAGCAAAACAAAACTGGCCACTAGAAAAATGAATACTTTAAGTTGAAGGAGAAACAGAAGGTTTCCACTCCAACTGCTCTTCTGTCCACGTTTAGAATGAAGGGGCTCTGGGGACAAAACAGGAACGTTTCCTGTGATAGTTCTAAACCCTCAAGGAGAGACAACTATTAATGGAGAACCTTGTACATTTCTTACTGATTTGGAAGCTATACTGTCTGATTAATCTCACATACCTACAAAAGCCCCTGCCTTGGATTACAAAGACTTCTAAAAGTGTGGGAGTTGCTAATAAAGCACAACCATTGTTTCATTCACAGCCTGTGCCTATCTCTTTTGCTTCTATAGAGGATTGACATCACTTTTCACTAAATTCTGTAATCCCTGCTAATTTAATAGGAAGAGATATTTTATCCAAATGGAATTGCCATTGGCATTTTAGTAATAAGGGGAAAATATTACTAATCTTACTGGAAAATCAGAATTTAGGAATGGAAAATAATAAAAAAGAAGAGGTTGCTTGCCATATGAAAACCCTCACAATGCCTTTTCAAAATTCAGACCCAATAAACTCTCCTTCCTGAAGTTATTTCTCAGCAATCACATGGCTTCTACCGATATTGGCAGAGTTCTGTCCACTGAACCTAGTAAAAGTCAAGTGGGCCACCACTAAACCGTGGCCCCAAAACTCTCCAGTAACCACTTAAAGGAAAAAACAAAAGAGGGAATAATTCCTATAATACAGGATTTTGTATCTAACGGCTTAACCAGTCACATTCCTTGCACATTCCTTGAAACACTCCTCCCTTCCCAGTGAACAAACCTAATGGTCTAGACAAGTGAAGTGTTAAGGATTTATGTACAATACACTTTACTGTACAAACATCCTCAAAATAAATTGTTATTCCTTGGTACTCCATTGTTCCTCATCCACGTCTATTCCTTTCCAGTGTCCCCCCATCCCCTCACCCCTGCCTCTGCCCCGATGGAGCTTGTTTTATGTCATAGACCCTTGCATCTGGTCTGTTATTCCACAGAGACTTTTAGAATTCCAAATCTATTTCTCTCAAGTTTTACATGCAGACTTTCAACCTTCGCAATTGCCAAATGAATCTACTTTGTTACAATATGTATTTGATTTACTTGTTGTTACACATATCCACAGGCTTGCTTAGAAGACAGCATTATTATTGTTAAGTGCCCACATGTCAGTTCTGACTCATAGCAACCCTCTATAGGGTTTCCAAGTAGCGACTGGTGACTTTGAACTGACGTGGTTCAAACCGACTTTTGGTCCAGTGTTTTATGCCACAGTGCCATACCAGTACTGGTTAGAGGACAGCATTTTTGCTGTTGTTAGGTGCCATCAAGACAGTTTTGAATCACAGGGACCCTGTGCACAACAGAATGAAACACTGCTCAGCCCTGCAACAACCTTACTATCATTGGTATGCTTGAGTCCATTACTGCTGTCACTGGGCCAACCCATCTTGTTGGGAGTATTCCTCTTCTTCTCTGACCCTCCACTTTACAAAGCATGATGTCCTTCTTCAGGGATTGACCCCTCCTGATAATATGTTTGAAGTATGGGAGACTAAGTCCAGCTATCCTGACTTCCAAGAAGCATTCTGGCTGTACCTCTTCCAACACAGATTGGTTTGTTCTTTGGGGGATCCATGGTACTTTTGATATTTTCCTCCAACACTATAACTTTAATGCATCAATTCTTGTATGGCCTTCTTTATTCACTGTCCAATTTTCAAATGCATAAGAGGTTACTGAAAATACCATGGCTTTAATCAAGACCCTACAACACTGAAGGAAGAAGTTCAAGTTATACTTAAGATATTGGTGAAAAATAAGGCACTAGGATTAAAAGAATATGGTCTCATTTTAAGGTAAGCACTGGATTGCTAACCACAAGATCAGCAGTTCAAACCCACCAGCCACTCCACTGAAACCCTTCACAAGGTTGCTGTGAGTCAGAACTGACTCAATGACACTTAACAACAGCAATAACAACTGAGATAAACAGTTAACAATACTCACTCATCTATGCCAAGAAATTTAGCCAACCAACTGGAAGAGATCCATTTGGTACACATTCCAAATGTGTGAGGCAACAGAATGCATAAATTATCAGACAATATAGTTAACATCACACATAAGTTTTGCTGAAGATATAATTTTTAATGGTTGCAGCAGTACATAGATAAGGAACTGTTAGAAATTCCAACTGGATTCAGAAGAGGACATGGAATGAGGGATACCATGGCTGTTGTCAGATGGGTCTTCACAGAAAATATCAGAAAGATATATCTGTGTTTTATTGGTTATGCAAAGGCATTGAACTGTGTGAATGGGAATTCCAGAATACTTAATTGCATTCATGCAGAACCTGTGCATAGAGACAGTCATTTGAACAGAACAAGTGGATACTGCATGGCTTAATATTGAGGAAAAGTGTACATCAGGGTTGTATCCTTTCACCATGCATATTCAATCTGTATGCTAAGCAAATCATCCAAGAAACTGGACTATAGGAACACAAATTTTGCATCAGGATTGAAGGAAGGCTCATTACCAACCTTGATATGCAGACATAACCTTGCTTGCTAAAAGGAAAGAAGACTTTTAGCAGTTACTGATAAATATCAGAGATAACACTCCTGGTGTGGTGCTGTAGGATCAACATTGAACTGAGAACCACAAAGTTGGCACTTCAAACCCACCAGATGCTCCTCAGAAATCCTATACAAGGTTGCTATGAGTCGGAATCAACTCGATGGCACTTAACAACAGCAACAATACAGCCTTAAATATGGATTGTTGTTATTGTTAAGTACTGTGGAGTCGGTTCTGACTCATAGTGACCCTGCACAGGGTTTCTGAGGCTGTAAATCTTTACTAGAGCAGAGCAGAGCTTCATCTTTCTCCTGCGGAATGGCTGGTAGTTTCGAACTGCCGACCTTGAGGTTAGCAGCCCGATTCTTAACCACTACGTTACCAGAGCTCCTTAAATATGGATTACACCTCATTATTATGAAAACAATAATCCCCACAACTGGACCAATAAACAATATCATGATAAATGGGGAAAAGATTAAAGTTGTCAAGGATCTCAATTTACTTGGCTCTGAAAACAACTCTCATAATGGTTGTTGTTGTGAAGTGCCGTTGAGTCAGTTCTGACCCATAGCGACCCTGTGTAGGGTTTCCGAGGAGGGGATGGTGAGCTTGAACTGCCGACCATGCAGTTCAAATGGCTGTGCAGTCTGGCGCATTAACCCACAGTGCCACACCGGGTAGTAGCTAAGAAATCAAACTACACATTGCATTGGTCAAATGCTGAAAAAGACCTCTTTAAAATGTTAAAAAGCAGAAATGTCACTTTGAGAAATCAAAACATGATATTTCGAATAGCTTAATATGCATGTAAAAGCTGGACAATGAATAAGGAAGACTGATGAAAAACTGATACATATGAATAATAGTGTTGTTAAAGAATATTGAATATATCATTTACTGCCAGAAGAAATTCATTTTTGTCTTGCAAGAAGTGTAAGCAGAAGTCCCCTTAGAAGTGAGGATGTTGTTGTTGTTAAGTGCCATGGAGTCGGTTCCAACCCATAGCGACCTTGTACAGGGTTTCCAAGGCTGTAAATTTTTACAGGAGCAGAAAGCCTCATCTTTCTCCCGTGGAGCAGCTGGTAGTTTCGAACTGCTGACCTTGCGATTCGCAGTCCGATTCGTAACCACTATGCTACCAGAGGTCCTTAGAAGTGAGGATAGTGAGACTTCATTTGATGTACTTAAGACATGTCATCCATTGTGACCAGTCCCTGAAAATGGACATCATGGTTGGTACACTAGAGGGTGAGTGAAAAAGAGGAAGACCCCCAATGAGATGGATTGACACAGTGGTTGCAATGATAGGTTGAAACATAGTTATGCTTGTGAGGATATCACAGGACTGAGCAGTGTTCTGCTTGCTGTACACAAGGTCACTATGACTTGG